TCTGTTTCGCATAAAAGTACAAACTATTGAAAACGATTTTTTTTGAAAAAGAACTATAACATTTTACTTTTATCTACAGGGTGATTCTATAATGGTTTTAGTATAGAGGTATTATCTAGAATCTTCTGCTTTGTTGAGAACTCTGGCGTCGTCGGAAGCAACATTTACGTAACAAATCGGTTAAAAACGGCAATGTTCTGAAAACCAAATTAGAAAAAATGAATTGTTGCATTTTTTCATTCTAGGACAAAAGAAATCAGACACACAGGGAGAACCAATGCACACAAAATAAATTAAAATTTGTATTCTAGTGTAATAAATTATGCTATTCGTTTATTTAAATCGTCACTCACACTGTCTACACCACAAACATTACACGATAAATGCCCACTCGGCACGTGTAGAAACCAGAACTCGTCGTCTCTCCTAACCTGTTATCGTAATTCAGTGGGAAATTAAGTCAGCCCCTCGAAAATGTAGAATAACATAATCATTATTAAACTCTGATCACCGATAGGCGACATGAAGGTTTCGTGTTCCCGTAGATGCCGTTAGAGCCCTTGGTACCGACGCACGCTCCAAGCTGAGACACGCAGGCTTATAGCAGGCAGTTTACACGCACGAGGGTCATTTAAGGCGTATGCACACCCATTGAACATGCCTTCAGCGCGAGTACCTCATTTGTTGCCCCCTTTCTTTACGTTTTCACCCTTTTCTCAGTCGTTCTCTCGCCTTTCCTATCTTCATATTTAACTAATATCTTTCGGCTTTAGTGTAATTAAGTCATCCTCCTTAGTAGGTCATAGCGTATCTATGCATGGTATGTTTTAATAAACTCCGGATACCACTATTCGAGGGCAGCTATTTTACTCTTACAAACGACTAGCATTTTAACACCATTCTTTTGCTCTTATTCATTACAATGAAAAAGCGTATCGCGTTCAAATCCGAAGAATCTTTGCTGAATGCAATATATGAACTGGACACTGTAAGTCATACATTATGATTATTCTCAGAATTAATTATTGTAATTACATAGATATGTCAGCGTGCTCGCGTCGAGTCAAGACTATAGTGTGCGTTTTCCTTGCAATTTACCAGCGTATGTTGCTGTGTGACAATAATAAAATTCCCTTCTAAGGTTGAGAAGACCGGAATACGGCGTGGAAATGTCTACGTCCTAACCATACGTACCCCCATACGTTAACCCATGGCCGCGAGGCAGGGACGTCGCCGGTAATCCTGAGCCCGTTCACGGGCTGTGTACGCAAGTATGTACATACATACTATAGATATAGATTAACAAACGAAATGAAAAAATTATTAATAGGGTTTAAGTGCTTTTTGAACAACTACGGAAAATAACAAAAGTAAAAAAATCATATATGACGGTGAACACAAGCTTGAATATGTGCAATAAAATCACGAATTATTTTAATTGAAAAGGGATAATATTTTAATAAAAGGGCTCTTTTGAACATACGAAGCAAAATAACGCATAAGGAACAGCGTTTACAACTACTTTGAAAACATAGACGGGCAGAGAAGACGAACAGCAAACGTAAAAGGCAAGAAAACGCATTAATTCGTAACAAACTGCTTTCTCGGCGAAATACGACTCTTAATTTTCCAACTGTCTAGGTAAGACGACGAGCCCTAATGGGTAACGGGAGATCGGCAGGTTCCATCGAATACACGTGTGCATGCCAACTCCCTCGACGACTATTTGAGGCATTACGAACCGTGCGCCCGTTCCGAAGTGTCTCTCCGGAGAAACTTCATTTCTGATGGTCTTTGCTACTCAGTTTCCATCCTCTCATTGCTGGAGCTGAACTTGTGGGAGTTCCGCTTTGTCCCGGGGAACTTGTTTCCGTCATCTTCTCCGCGTCTCGCTCGCGATCTCTTTCCGCCGTCTAATGCGATTTGCTCCCGGGCTGCTGCGACGCCGAGGGGACTGGGGACCGAGAGCAGGGGGGCTGCGGGAGTGTGGGAGGGGGAAGAAAGCGGGCCCCGGGCAGTAGGTAGCGGAACGCGATGAGAGAATGGGAGTGACTACGGCGAGGAGGGGTTAGAGCGTTGTGAAATGGAGGGCGGGGATCGAGAACCGGCGAGATCAGAGAGTGAAGTCGCGGAGAAGAGGAGGGGAGATTGAGTGCTGCAGTGATGGTTAGTCCATCACCTCACATTCCTCTCGTGAAATTTTTACATAAACTTCATGTAAATATCATCTCTATTCGAATTCACGCTGTGCAGAAACTCAATCCAGAATACAAGAATCAACAAATATATACATTGAAATGGATACCAAGAAATATTCATTTCATGTATTTCTTAAATTGTTCTCCAAAATGGAATAAACAGAGCTGCCTTAACAGGTTTTCTCTGCCATTCTATTGGATGTAAGAAATTAATTATAAGTTAGTTTCAAGCCACCAATGCATGTGACATAGTTGTAATAATTAAAACCTGTAATTCTCTTGAAACGAAACCATAACAAAATTGAAAACAATAGAGATTCTAAGGTTCGTGGGCAATGTGGTGGGAAGATCAATGTTAAAAATCTCTTGGTAAACCAAGCAATTTAATTTTGGGAACAAGTGTTTCTGGGGACAATTGGCAAGGTGACTCCGAAACATCTACTGCACAATTCAGGAGTGAGATGCCAATTCGCGTGGCGGGGGTACATCCCCTTGTTGACTGTGTAATGAATGAGGGCATAATAAACTAGGCTGTTTATGCGAATATGAAAGACGGCTTTACACGAAACGATGATGCAGGTCGAGATTTCCTTTTACGAGTTTTCATTGTATACGATTTTGAAACTAACATTCTAATATTTTCTTTATTCACAATAATTATTGTACAATAATAATTGCAAGATGTAATAATATAATTGTGTCCTATTAATTATTTGTTAGCTATCGATGAATTCTATTTTCGCAGCTCATGGTCGTAACTCAAAGTGTAACTGACCCCTAATCAACCTGGCACCTAGGACCGGAATGACGTTGTATTATATTATGTATGTTATGTATATGTATATTACGTATAAGCAAAATAAGCAGTTACATCCAGCAGTTACATCCATAAGGGCTCCGCGCTCTTAAAAATTGTTTTCGAAAAAAAATCATAAAATATGTTCACATTTGTAAAATAATTGTTAATTAAATACTGTATGGTACTAAAAATGTGGGTTTAAAAATTAACTTAAACATTTTTGTTTATACTAAATAGAGGATTTTTCCGGAAGACTTCTGCCAAAAATACGTTCTACATGATTACACTGCATAAACCGTAATCTTGTCTAATACGAAAATATACTTGTGTCTTGAGATTCTGCATTGGGCAAGTTCTACTGTATTAGTTCTGTATTTGTCACGCAAAACATATATGTTAAAACAAAGGTTCAACTTTTTGTGCGTGCCCAAGCATTGAATACATTTTTATAATAAAATATTTTCCAACAAACCAGTACATTATTATTGGAAATGTATGTGGGCAAAATGTCACTTCACAACTGAGAATAAATTACTGAAGCCGAAGGAACAATCAATAGGAATGTGTCTTTACCAACGAGTTCTGAGCTACGACTAGAAGTGCACAATATGAACTGTTTTACAGTGGAGCTTGGCAAAAGGTTTGCATGAATGGAATAAGAATAAAGCTGTAACTGAAACTGCCAAACAAACTTCTTTCGATTGAACGTCTAGAAATTAATAAAGAGCTCGTTTCCGTATAGGTTTCATAGACCAAGAGGGAAACGTGTCAATGTCCCTTAGTAATGTCATAAGATTAAAACAAAAAACGGCCCACGTCGCCGTTGCCATCTACCCGCGTGTTCGCCACTGCGCATTTCGCTATCGCGCCACCGAAGAACAAGCTGATCATCCAAAGAGGCCGCCAGGTCCGAATAGAGGCAACTGCCCCACGCGGCGGGGTGTACGCGGGACCATCCTGTGGTCAGGGATCGGGAGGGCGGGGGTGCAAAAGGTCCCAGGTGAGAGGGAGGAGACAGACGAGACCAGATGAGGCAGATGAGACGGTAGGAAGGAGGGAGGGAGGAGGAAGGGCAGGAGGGAGGGAGGTGGGAGGGAGGGAGAAGAGAGGATAAGATGAGAGAGAGAGAGAGAGAAGTAGGCGGTAGAAGGGACACAGCAGTAAGGGTATTCCAATAGCCTTGCTCTTCAGATCCACCAGCTTCGTTCCCCCTGAGATACCGACACAATTATCATGTGACTATTTACTTCAGAGTTTATGCGATATCAACACTTTCAGTGAATAACGGAATTCAAATAGAACAGACTTCTCAAACCTTTTGAATATTGTATTCTTTACACATGGTTAAACTTTAAATTAATCCCCTTGATGAAATTTTCCTAAACGACTGGGTTTAAAATAATATATGACAAATTTTATGGTAATTTTTTATAAACAAATTGTAAAATGAGATAGCTAATGTGTTTTTTTCTGACCAACTGGAGTTACTCGAGTCGGCAGGACAAAGTTTGTTTTTTTTAAATTTTATTTTACAACCGTGTGACCCGATGGTGGTGAGTCAGTTTGTCAGGGGAAGCTTTCAGGTGCGATCGGCTTTGGTATAATGGAAGGCGAATGTAGCGGGTCGACGTGATCCTAATTCTCGCAATTAAACATTTTAAGGCCTGCCTTTACCTTCACCTGGATTTGATTGAAAGAAACAACGGACACCAAGCAGAGAATGCGACCTCGAGACTTACGCAGGAAGTGGTCAATTTCCATTTAGATGTTAAGCTGGGGAGAAAATCTGTCAATGCCGGGATTCGTCCGGCAAATGCATACACAATACGACCACAGATTAGTTCTTACGGAGTAAATATTTTACGCGCAACTTCACAATTTATAGTTATTTTATTGCTACATTATTTTCTTTTATTTCTACTTTATTGCTATTATTTCTGTTTATTTAATTGTCGTTGATAAAAACACAAAAGATCAATAACAAATAATTTAATTTTAATCGTTCATAATATTTGTTTCATCAACATAAATTCAATCTGATTTAAAGTTATTTTTGTTGCCTTACAAAAAACTAAGATAATAAAGCATTATGTAATATGAAAGACACCTAATCTTGATAGTACTTTGTGAGCTTTCACTCCATTCAAAGCTTCTCAGGTGTTTCTTCAATATTTCAGCGCCTTTCCGGCTCTCTCCTCTTCAACCTGGGGAAAAGAGACCAACTCGTATAATGGCTTCCTGCCATTTTAAGCTCCGCCTCAACGCGCGCTATGCACTTTCATATTTGTTGCCCAACTCTGCAAGCAAGTCAGGAGGCAACGTTTGAAATTGAGGCAAAGCGTGAAAGCGATCCCGGTACTGCGGCCGTTCTCATCCTGCACAATAATTGAATTACTTTACAAAACTCCTCTTGTGGATTTAATAAATCTGTAACCTAAGACCTTTACATTAAAAGTAGCATGAAAAGAAAATTTAGTTTAAAGCGATATTTCTTTCTTGGTTTAAGTAAGGAAGTTTCGCTTTAATTTTATTTTTACTTCGATAGATGTAGACGACGGGCAAGGTATAGGTGAGTCCATATTAAATTCCATTATTATTAAACTAGCTCATTCCGTGGGAGAAGGAATGTGGAGACGGCTGCGAGAAAGGGCTCCTCCAAGGCGATAGGACTCCGGCAAAGGGATGGCGAAGGCTGAGGGGTGATGGCATGGGGGAGGGGCAGGGGGAAAGAGGGAGAAGGGCGGGCAGCAGAGGGGTTCTCCAAGACGGAAAAGGTGGGGCATCCGCAGGGAACTCCACGAGTCGAAGAGGCAGACATCTTCTCGCTTTGGTGCTTCAGCAGTCTCTTAAATGTGGCGTGGCGTTCCTTTCGACGTGGCCGCCAGACACTGCAAGGATTGGCTTGTGGTATCTTGGTTTCACGGACAAAGCTGGATTCGAAACTTTGCGATGTAATTGTTGCATTCCACAAAACAACTGATTTAGTAGACGTAAAATGATTCTGATTTTAACACCTCAAAATGCGAAAACTCTGACTGTTTAGAAATTTTCAAATCATTTTTGGCACTCCAAAAGAAAATATTAGTAAGGAGAAACGCACAAACAATACAACAAATGTACAATTTTTTAATATTCTTTCAATATCTATAGTATTTAAAAAATGCTAAAATTTAAGTAAGAAGTTTTTAAAGAAGTATAAACAATGCGAAGAAGAGTTAAATCTATTTAATCTGCCTAATTTTTTTAAATGTTCGAAGCCCGAATATAAGATATAAGATATATACATCAAGGGTCTCCAGCTGACTACCGGAGTTAATGATTTTCTCGCTTTCTACACAGTCTGCGGCACAACGCTAATTTTTAAATCAACACGGTACACGATCTCACTGCAGTTCGCATAATGCACTAAAAGTTTTGGTAATTTGTACTATTGTAGTATTATTATTTTGACACTTGTATATATTAAATTTGCAGAATGCAGTTAATTTCCGAACCAGGATCTTTCTCAAATTCTCTTTTAATCACCTTATGCGATAGACAGGAAACGCAGCAATTAAACCATGTTCATTTCCATCGTCTATGTTGCAATGAATGCAGCTTCCATTACTACGACAATTCAGGAAGATCCATTACTCCTATTTCGAATCAGAATATGAGTCTAATGCTTGTTTATTTTAGTGATTTTAAGTGTAGAACAAACTGCCTTTAGATAAACAGAAAGAGTAACTCTAGTATATAAAAGGTAAGTCTATTTAATGTATTACGGGGATCTTCTCTTACTGGTCTAAAATCAAGATTTTTCAAGTACACTTATTATTTATTATTTTTCCATCCACAATTCTCATTACATTCCACCACGTATGGCGCGAGAATACTAACTATAGGATGAATTCCATTAAATTCGGTGCTCCCAGATCCTAACGCGCATCGTTGTTAATTAGTTAGGCTTTACGTGTGCGTCAACATCGTAGGTCACTAGTCCCAGAAGTAGAGTGAATGTTATATTCTGGGGTAGAGGTGTTACCGATGGAACTGGCGCAGACTTACGTCGTCGTCTTGCGAAGTTTCTTCCTACACATATTTTTGTCCGTAGGGTTCCGCCCCGGCAGCGACAAGCCTTTCAGCTCCGGCATTCGCCAGGTATTGATCGGAGAAATCACGGAATACAACCAATCAGACTAGCCAGACAACTAGCTGTGTAGCTCGTGTGAAAAAGCCACGACCGCCGGGGCCCTAGGATCTGCCAAAGAGCCTTTCTGCGGATGCAACTGAGCCACCGCAGCCGTCGATCCACGGCGTGCCAGGCGTATCGCCCGGACCCAAAGGCCGTCGACGCAGATAACAAAGCAGCATTTGTCGTGCTTCGCGAACCACAAGGCTGCCGGGAGTCCGCACCCCCTCTCTCCCCTCCGGCGGCGCTTTTCTCCTTCGATTCACGCCCTCGTACGCGAGCGTCGCTGTTCCAGCGCGGGTGCGCAGGGTGGCGTGGTTCGGCGGAGAACGGGTAGGGGAGATGGTGAGTGGGGAGTGGGAAGAATGGGAGAGTCGGGGTGGATGCAAAGACTTGCAAAAGCATGGGAGGATTAGTAGTGGGACTGATGGGACGCAGGATAGCGCTGGGCGCCCGATACGATGAGGCCAGGGTTGGGCGAATACAGAGGATATGAAGTTGGACGTGGAGTGAAAGGGCACCTTATAAGGAGGGTGTAAAAAAGGGCACCTTATAAGGTGGGATGTGAGATTCAACGTGGTCTAGCGTGACTGTCTGTCAGGAAGAAGAAACGTTAGTAAAATGTGCTTGGCCACGGGGCGAGGATTTGAGAACTATCATCTTGCGTGAAGTGACGCTAATTCAGTCCGTACGATGATGATGTTGGAACGCAGAGGTTAGTAGTACCCAATGCCCATGATCACGAATATTGAAAGATGATTTGGAAATTATAAGAGAAAATCGGAAATTGCGTGTAAAAGAAACTGAATGAGAACGCAAGATGTCGAGACTGGATGCAACATTGAGGTTAAACGGACAGGTGGCGAAATGGGCATCTGATACTGACAACGGAGTTTCGACGAAATAAGTTCGTGCGATCCGAAACCCTCGTTAAATGAAGAAACATGAGGAGGAATGTCACAAGGCAATCGAAACTCTGAGACGAGGAACTGAGAAGTGCAAGCATGATAGGGCGCTAAGCCTAACGGTAGAGTAGGAAAGTGCGAGCGAGCGGTGAAGAACTTTTGAAAAGGCGCAAAGTTCTAAAACTTCTTCGTAGTGAGTGTGGGGGTCTAAGGAAGCGGGTTTGATTGATTGATTATTTCAACTGCCGTGGTCAAAAGTCCCGTAAGATTAGTTCATGTGTTTTCCTCGGGAAGTGGCAGTGACCTTCCCCTGCTGGACGCCGACTCCATCCGAACGTCGTATTACAAGGTTTCTCCCCTCCACGTGTCTCCCATCAGCGTACCACCACCCTACTCGAGACAAGCTCTAAGCTCCCAACTGGTCTCCCGACATGTGTGGTCGAGTAGTGCATAAGTGTGTGTGTACGTAAGGGGTGAGGATAGAACAAGGAAGGGGAAGGAAAGATTGCGGTTGGTCCATGGTTCGATTGTTCGAGTGTACCGTTCCGGCACCTATTCACCGATGCTGATCGGATAAACCACGGAGAACTACCTATCAGAGCAGCTGTGGGTTAGACGTGTCCTCCAGAGAGCGGCTGAATTCGCACAGACATCTAGCTAGCGTCGAAAATCCTACCACAGTAAGACTCGAATCTTAAGACCTTCCGGTCAGAGGTACTGCAGTGACTTCAGGTGATGCTCTGAGCTACATAATCCGGTAATGAGAGTGGTGAACTAGATGAGAGGTGAAAGGTGTACACGGTACACGGAAGATCGCGGCATGCATTGCCGGGAGCAGGATGTGGGAGGCGGAGCGGGGTAGAGAGGCGGAGGGCGTCTTAGTAACAATTTATGTAGGCTTGGGCTCGGGCTTGACCCCGCCGGGGCGCTAACGCCTCGGGTATTAGATGGAGAATCCATATTCCGCATATTTGAGATCGCTGCGATGTTAATGTCGCAGTTTAATGACCCGAAAATAACTCGAGCGCGGCAGTTGGCAAGCGCGAATAGCAACGGAGAAGCGCAGGGAGGTCGCGCCGAGGGACGGTGGTGAAGAGGGGCAGAGGGGTAGAGGGGCAGAGGGGTAGAGGGGCAGAGGGGTAGAGGGGCAGAGGGGTAGAGGGGCGGAGCGCAGAAAGAATCGAGTGGTGGCGGGTTTGCAAACACTGCGACGTCGCCTCGTATGTTGGCACGAATGCCTCTACTACGCCAAGAGACTCAGCGAATCCCATTTGCATCTTCCGTTGTGTATATTTTCTCAACCCGGCTTCCGTGTCCTTTCTATGTGCGCTTGCGGTAGATGCTGTTTACTCTTTTTACTGTGGTGTTTGATGTGTGAAACGTAGATTTCGTGATGCAAAGTACGTACTTCCTCTCATACCACCGCAACGAACATTTTCCTTGATCATTTCCTCCAATGTTGTACCTCTTTTTTAGCATTTTTCCTGCAGTAGTCCCTCTTTTTTCCTTGACACCTAGCCAATTTATTTACTTTCTACGAAGCACTCCGGAGATATTTCCTACATGTGCATACCATTTATCGTTTCCCATCTAATTATATTGACTAGCTGTCTCCGTTCATACTTCCTTTTCCGCGGCGCTGAAAATGTTTGCATTGGCGTGCCGCATACGCAGAAAGCAAACTAGTTGTCCGACTCGTTCAACTGACATCTCATTCGTGTCTATGATGCTCATCATTTTTATGTAACATAGATGTTGCTTTGATGCACAACCTATCCTCTCATGTAGACCCGTTATATGACTTATTACTCACAGAAGGATAACACTGCATATTTCACTTATTACGCAGCATTTTCATTTTTTGCAACCATTTATAATTTACCCTTTTTTATAAAGTTATTAGTCTAAAACCAGTGTTTCCATCGCATATTTCTTTCCTCAACTTGGCATATACTTTTACTGCATTCTCGCGGTTCTACTTTTT